GACCTTTGCTTCAAGTAATAAATTTCCCCATAACTATTTCAAGAACTTAATCATCTCATATTGACTCCCAGCTAATTCATCTTATTCGATAAACTTGTTCAACTCATCCCACTTCATTCTTGTTCTTATCTTGATGTTCGACCTGATTTAAACTATAAGGGGTGTTTGCTGTTTGATTGTTAATCAAGAACACATCTAATCAGATTAAAATATTCAATGAGGTAAAGTCCATGCATATTAACTATATATATATATATATATATATATATATATATATATATATATATATATATAGCATAATATGTTAGCACACCGCTTGAAGTTTTACTTATTCCTCTTGGGCTAAAATAATTTTAGATTTTAAACATTTAAGGCTGTTTCAGCTTTGGGAATTTTCAGTCGATACTCTGTGAATTTATATTTATTTATAATAAATATAAATGTAAGACTTGTTTTATAATAAAATCTCCAAATTACTAAATGGACTTAAATCTTTTATTATTAGATCTAGCTCGAATGTTTGCTGAACATAAATGTCCTAATTCAGAATAGCTGAAGGTGTGAATGTATCTGCCTGGAGTTCTCAGTACGTCAGCAGAAAATATGCACACAATGAAATAGAACAGTTCCAGCTGTGTCCCATATAAAACTGCATATCCTTTGACATCATGTTTAATGTTTTATAAAAATCTGACCAAGAGACAAAATAAGCATATTTTGCCTATGTTCATAAACATTTGAATTTTTTTTTTTTTAGAAACTCAACCCAGAGAAACTTGTATGTACAGGATTTATAGATGTAATTTAAGTGTCCTTTCTCTTTACTTGCCCTGAAAACAGGTTGATAAAAAGATGCACATCTTTAACTACCAGAGTATAACTGAACTAAAAATATTAGCAGGAGATTTTAAAAGAAAACTGTATTATTAGTGCAAATGTTTTTGAAGCGGAGTTGTCTTGTTTTCTGTTATGTTTTCAAATCATCAATGTTTCTCTTGTTTTCTTCCTCCTGAACAACTTGAAGCATCCCAGTCTTCCAGTATTGAACTGACAGGTTGAAGGACTTATTGTGTTTATCTATGCACCCTTTTGTCCTTGTGGAACATGTATGTAAAAGCCAAATCCATGCTGAATCACCAACAAACTGTCTGAAAATGAACTCATGGCCATCATCTTCCTACTATGTTGTCATAATGCAATAATGTGTATATCAGCTGCTTGCTTTTATACTACTTCACCTTCCTCATCAGCAATACTAGTACCTGCAATGGTCTGCTACTGGACCCAAGGTCTAAACCTGATGAGAGGTTAGCAGAGATGCACTGGCAAAACTGAGATTGTCTGTGTACTTTTTGTATAAAGGTGATGGAATTATTTAATATTCTAAAAGTAAAGAAAGAAATTCTTAATAGGTAATTTTACTCATTAACTTGGAGGCAATAGGAAATGTTATTTAATGATGCAAGAGGTCAAAGATCAGATGACAGCGATTGAATTTTGTTGGTAAGCTATGCCCTGCAGCCAGGGTGAAAAAAAAAAAAGTTTCAAATAAGCATCTTAATTTCACTGCTGTGCAAAATTTCCTGAACTGCAAGAACAAACCTTGTGTGACTTTTTTTTTTTTTTTTTTTAAGAGACAGAAAATACTTCTTGTATAATATGCATTTGACAGATTTAAGCTTTGAATTTCTCCTTCCTTAAATGTAAAAAAGAGTCTAAAATTCTTTTTCTGTCTGCAGATTTATCGGTCGATATATGTACAGTATTTATTTCTTCTGAACTTGTTTTTTTAATGCAAAATTATAAAATGGAAAAATATGCAAATGTAAAACATGTCAAGTCAAAATGATGTCACATTTTACGTCAGTTTGTTTTCATTAAAAATAGGTGGACGGCTTTCAATTGTGAGTTTTTAATGGGCATTTGGGATCAGCAATATTTAAGAAAACGAAACAAAAAAACCCGACTCAAATATAGTTTATCTAAACAGTTCTGTCCCGAAAACATTGTGGTTGTAGTAATTATTCAAATTAGATTTTTTTTCATGTTTCCCTCTGCTGCTATGAAGTGAGTTTTAAAGTTTTTATTTTTTGAAGATGGTCTGAAGAAAAATCTGAGTAAAGATGCAAAAACATCCAGTTCTTGCTCCAAAAGATAAAACAGGACGACGAGAAGAGTAAGAAGAAAATAAATGAGGAAGAGCTGCCTTAGCAGGGGAAAGGGGCGTCGTTGGTCCAAAGTGACAAAGGGAAGTGGGTGAATGAGCAGAGTTCTAGCAGAATGCAGGGTTATTAGAGGTCTGGTTGAGACCTGTCTTTGCTCCTAAACCTCAGTTCACATATTAACTTTATTTCACTGATCTATTTTCCCTGACATGATGCTCAGTGTTTAAATATTATTGGATATGAATAGAGGAAAATCCTGGAAGAATATCTAGTACGATTTTCTAAAATATTGAGTTTTGGATGATTTTTACTTGCTATCAGGAAAAACAACCCTAAAAAAATAATGCAACTGCTTTTGCATTTACTTTATCATATTTAGTTTAACACAATTGCTTCATGTTAACAGGGTAGGACATAAAACAATTGTGTTGAAGTAACTAAATATGATTAAATGGAAAAGCGGTTGCTTTATTTTTTTGTAGTGCATACAGATGCTACATTAGAACGGTTTAAGTCCATCCATCCATCTTATTCCATCATTTCGCCAGTCTGTCGCAGGGCAACACAGACACACAAACATTCACACCTAAGGAGAATTTAGAGAAGCCAACTAACCTAACAGTCATGTTTTTGGACTGTTGGAGGGAGCTGGAGTACCCAGAGAGAATCCATATATGAGTGGGGAGAACATGCAACAGTTCAGAGCAAGGAATATATTGCTAATGGCACCTAAATCTTATTGTTGGTTACAAAATATTAGAATTATTACAGATTATTTCTATAGAACCTGACTAGCTGTTTGATTCTTGCAAATTCTGAAATAATGGGCAAAGATATCAAACTCAAGATATGAAAAATGTAAAATAAGCAATCTGCCATCATGCAATATGCAAAAGTTGGTCCATCAGCCAGGTAAAATTTGGGAAAGTTCAATAGGGATGAAAATTTTGCAGCTGCATCAATGGGTAAAAGAAAGATGAACAAAGGGTTGAGTATGCACTGGAGCAATGCTACTCTCTGAAATTTCCAATCAGCAAAGTAACATTTTGACTAAACCATTGAGATACAGTCAAGTTGCAGGCTTTACCTTGAGAGGACAACATGTGCCCTGATAGGAAGGTGCTCCCCTTTCTCCTCCCACTTCTTGTAATGTTGGATCTGCAGACTGATTTTTTAAACAGGAAGGAAAAAAAAAAAAACACAAGTGTAACATTAACAATCCATCCATAAACTATTTATGGCTGAAAAATTCAGTGTTGAAGCTTGTAACCAATGTAACAAAAAAAAAAACAATTGGAGTTTGGGTTGCAAAGTGTTACATATTATTTTGCACGTTGTTCAGAAATTTAGACGGAGACCTGTGCAAACTGGTCCCTGGGAACAGACCAAGAAAACTAGACTGAACTGGAAGCTTTTATCAAGCTTGATGATTTACTGCGCACTCAGCATCTCATGCTTTGCGAACATGTGTTTTAAGTCGAGTTAAATGATGACTAGGTGACTCATGGAGCTTAAAAGTATGACAAACCTGAGAAATACTTCATGCATTCAAGCTGCAGACAAACGATTACTGATCCTAGATTAAACATTAAGACAAAAATTGTTGCTGCCTTGTAATGCAATTTCCAAAGAAGGCCCAGTTGCGCATCACTTCAATGTATATTGTGGCTGGAGTGTTTCCACTTGAGTTACAGATAGATCCCTCTTCATTTTGAGTGCAGGGGAAAAAGAAACAGAAATTCAGATTGAAGTAGAATTCACAGACGAAGTGGGGGTACTTCACTCAGACATGACTAAAATATCTTACAAGTAAAAATGGAGTGAGGCATTGTGGTGGTGAAATTGTGCACAGGAAATAATTTTCATTAGCAGAATTGAGAAACAGGAAAATCTGTTGCAAGGATTAAAAAATAAAAATATGAAGAGATTTTCCCCAGATTGACTGAGTTTGAGCTGTTTTGCATAAAATAAGGAGAAATATTCAGTCTTTTGGCATGCAAGGCAGTGAATGACACCAGAGGCATACTGCAGTAACCTACTGTAGGAGGAACTGGTAATTTTCAGACTTTAACCTATTGAATTATTAATTATTTTTGTGCATTTATTTCCTTTAATAATAAAATGCTCCCAGAGGTTCTAACAACTTGATATGAGCCTCTTATGATTAAAACTAAGACAAAACACTAAAAGATTGTGAAATATGACAAAGTATTGATATAGTCCCTTTTGCACATAACCAATTTGGTGGAGAATAAAACATAAGTTGAAGTAGACAAACAAATTCAAATAAAATTATATTTCTCTATTGCATTCAGGCCTGTTTAGTTGGTTTGAAATCTTTTTTATGGATCTTTATGTGTATAAACTCAGCATGTAATGTATCATTACTGTCTTAAAACATTCTTTATAAACTGTTTAGTTGAGCTAAGATTGTTACATTTTTGTCAAATTCAATTTGTATTTAGTATATCAGGTCCCAAGGGCAAACAGAAGATAACTGTGGTTACAAAATTACAATCTGGTCCTCTGTTGTACTTGAGCCTCCTCAGATTAAACTCTTAACTTTAGCCCCAAGAGGCAGTTTCCCTTTGCACTGTTATAACCAGCTTTAATGTGTGAAATCCTACTTTTTAAAGAGGCGGATGTGAGGGGTTGGATAAGAGGAGGAGTTTTTGAGTCACTTGTGAAATAAAGGAGATATGAAGCTTCAGATGGACTCTGACTGGCAGCAGATGGAGCACAGGCCTCTATTTATGAACATTTTTTCTAGATATAACAATTGTTTCAGTAGTTTTTATGTGCATTATTTGGAAGACAGCATACGTATCTGTTACAGCAGTATTGTGTTATGTAGATAAAATACAGTTTTTCTTCAGTTTTCAGACAGACAGGCATAGGAACCTGCCTGGTCCCTGTGTGATAACAGAGCCAATTACAGTAATCTGAAATTTTGGATTAGTTTTTAAATTCAAACCAGAATAATGCAGGATTATGAGGAGTCTGTGTCCTTTCTGGGGGACTGGGGCCCATTCCAGAGGAAGATCTTCTTTGTTCTCTGCATCACCTGTTTTCCTTGTGGATTCAACATCCTGTCTGTCATTTTTCTGCTGGCCAGTCCCCCACACCACTGCAACATCCCAGTCAGCAGCAACCTAAGCCTGGAATGGATCCAGGCCAACATCTCATTACAGGTCAGAACTGTAGCCAAACTACATTAAACCACAGGTGTCAAAAGTATTCATGCTTATTTCTCAACTAGAAGTATAAATTCTACTGTTTAAAAAAATCTTTTTGTATAATTTATATTATCAATTTAAGCTTTTTAATCAAGTTAAAATTTAAAAGTACATTTTTAAAAACATACTTAAAGTATAAAAGTAAAGGTAATTCAGGAAAATTATTAAGGACAGATGGTTTACTGCACTACCTTAATAAAGGAATTTTTTTCTACAATTCTGGATGATAACTTCCTTAGAGTTTATCTTTTTCTTAGTTTTATAACTAATGGTAACAGTGTCAAATGTAACTTTACATCATGTTGGAGAAACTATTCCTTTTGGTATGTGGCGAAGCAGAAGTTGGTACGGTACCGAGTCCAACCACAAAGAAACCGTCTTGATGAAACAAATCATTTTGATGGTTTTAACCTTTTTTTAAATACCAACAGGCAATAACTAAAACGAGCTTAAATGAAACAGAACTAATGAGTCTATTTTAAAATGTAAGGAGTATAAAGTAAAGATAAGTGCAAAAAAAATGTAAGCACCTGAAGTAAAAAGTTTTCTGAAAAATAATTATTCCACTAAAGTATGGATGCCAAAATTTCTACTTAAATAAGGTAATGTAAGTATTTGTACTTTGTTAATTGACACCTCTGATGAAAACATTCATGTTCTCCAATGTCTCCCTTGAATATTACATGAATGATAGTTTAATGAATTGTGTTTAATTCAGTTCAGTTTATTTATACAACACCAATTCACAACAACTTTCTTCATGTGTTTAATACTTTTTCCCTGTGCCTTTTCACTTCATTAGACATAACATAATTTCTGAACATCTATTCAATTCAATTCAGTGTATTTATACAGCGCCAATTCACAACACCTGTCATCTCAAGGCACTTTACAATTCAATCAGATCATACGGTCAAATTGATTAAAAGTTTTCTATCTAAGGAAAACGACTTGATTGCATCAAAGCTAATCCCTCACACCAAGCATGCCTGTAGCGACAGTGGAGAGAAAAAAACTCCCTTTCAACAGAAAGAAACCTTCAAGAACCAGGCTCATTGTGAGCGGCCATCTGCTGAGGCCGACTGAGTTCAAAGAGACAGAAGCAAAGATAGAAAAGGTAAATGTCAACCAGCTCCACAGGCGGCCCCGTCCAGGAAACACACAGCCAGGCAGACGAGCTCCAAGCCAGCTCACATGTCAGAGAATCAAGAGAGCACATCCAGCTAGTCAGGCAGAAAAACAGGACTACATTCAAAAACAGGCTCCAACATCTATAAACAAAGGTGTTGATGGCAGCAGCACAGCTGATGTGTCACAGCTAAACAGGACCAGATGAAGCTACTATGAGAAAAAGCAGAGAGAGAATAAGGTTGGAGAATGAACTAACAAATTCTGCTGAGAGGGAGAAAAAAGATAGAATGATGCAAAGGGGTCCTTATGTCCTCCATAGTCTAAGCCTATAGCAGCCCCTATAAACCATTTAATAAAACATTTGGTCTCTTAACCTCCTGTTATGTCTCCAAATATTATGCTGTGAATAAGTTTTTCATATTTTTCTGCTAACTTGAGGAAACATTTTAGGATGGTTTGGTTATCAGCCCTTAAACATTTAATAACAATTTCCAAATAGATTGTTTCACTTGATATCAGCTGTAAGACTCAAAGATAACAAGTAGCAAATATACACAGTATCAAGAACTGTATGTAAACAGTGTTATTAGTGAGAGGTAGAGACTAAATATAGAGCTAAAAGAGACTTGACCAATAAGAAGATTGCTTTGGTTTCTTCCTGGTTTCTTCCTGCAGAGGTTTCTTCCTGTTAAAAGGGAGCTGAATGAGATCATTAACTGTAACTGTATGTATTCAAACCTTAAAGGAACTACTTTTATGTTGTTATACTAACTAAGTTATGAAAATAAATGAACTGTAGATATTTGAATTTTACCTACATGGTGATTGTTGAGATTGCCACTCGTGTTCATATTCGAGTTTTAGTGAATATGGAGATCATCCCAAAAGGAAAAAGTCAGAGACATTTTCCTAGTGTAAGAGTACTAATTGAACAATTGTTTCACATAATTAAGTGTTAAAAGTGGTCAACCATAACATTTATAAATTATTAGCAAAGAAGCTACTTAGGTACAAAGTAATTCATCATAACATCTGATTCACTATTTTAAATCATGTTATAAAAGAGACGATAATTTAAAATTATGTATAAATTCTGGAATTTATAAGACTATAATAAAACAATTAAAATAGATGAATAACATAAATGACCAAAATCCTTGTAGAAGAAACACTGCATGAAACGTTTGAAACCAGACGACATAGCAGGCATTGTAAACGTTTAATAACAGTGAAGTGGCAATACTCACTCCTTACTCTAATTACTAGCTTAACTTCCAAATAACCCGGTCAGTTCAGATATAAAATAAGCTTATGTACAATAAGAGAACAGTTATTTTAATATGAATATAAACTTCAGTTACTATTAAAATTACTCTTAAAAAAGTTTAACGTTTTTGTAAGTTTATATACCTATGTAATTAGTTACTACCAGGGGCGGATTTAGGAAATTTGGGGCCCTAGGCAAAGACAGGCAGGGGGCCCCCGGAGAAGAAAACCCATAAAACAGACCCATTCTACAGATAGAGAAATGTTAATAGAATAGACATCCATTATTTGTTCTAGGTTTTGTCCCTCTCTTCTTGTCCCTTTTTCCTCTCTATTTATCAGCGTTCTGATGGCATTTTAGCCAAAGGATTTTTATCAAAAACATAATTAATGTGCACAAATAAGGATTAGTTGTATTAACCATACATGGAAACAGAGTTTTATGGGGCCCCCAGGAACTTGGGGCCCTAGGCAACTGCCTAGTATTGCCTGATGGTAAATCCCCCCCTGGTTACTACCCACTTCTGGAGATCAAGAGGTGGGTAGTAACTAAGAGGCTCTGACTAGGAAGGGTGAACAGATCTGTGCAGATTCTTTTTTCACTTTTCTGCTGGGGTCCGAGAGCAAAAGATCACATCTCTTAATGTCAATATTTGCTTCTGTCTTTAGAACCCCAGTATGCCTCAGACGATGGCCTCTGACCCCGTGCGTGGTTCTGATGGAGGTTTCTTCCTGTTAAAAGGGAGTTTTGCTCTCCACTGTCGCTACATGCATGCTCAGTGTGAGGGATTCTTGAGAGTCAACGAGTCTTTGCAAACAGCTGCTTTTTCTTAGTAAATCTTAACTAATCTGACTGTGTTATTGGAAATACATTGAATTGATTAAAACTTTTCTACAGTAGTAGCCGTTTCCTTTCCTCAATGGGTCCTTGGCTGGTCCTTAGCTGGTCCTTGGCTGGCCCTTTTTTAAAAATCAATCTTTTTACTAAAATATTCTTTCTGTCATGATTTGTGGTCATTAAGATCTAAAGCGAAGCACTTCTCCTGGTCAGACCCTGTAATTTAGTGAAAGGGTTGAGAGTAGAAAAATATGCAAGAGGAGGTCACTCTAGTGGCTGGAAGTTGGCTGCCATTCTGCTGGAGTTTGACCTGGAAGGGCCATTTTGAATGGTTGCTACTTGTAATTGCAACTTTTCCCTGTGTGAGTCTTTCCATGTTGGATTGACTTTTTTTTTGTTTGAACTATAAACAAGGAGATTTCAAGAAATCTACAACAAAAACAGGCAGATTTCCAACATCTATAAACAAAAGTGTTGATGGCAGCAGCACAGCTGGTATTTTTCTCCAGGATGGAGTCACAGCCAAACAGGAAACTACCAGATGAAACTACTTTTAAGGAAAAGCAGAGAGAGCATAGCGTTAGACATTGAACTTACAAATTCTTCAGGGTGGAAGAATAGAGATAGAACAAAGCAGAATGATGAAATGGGGGTCCCTATGTCTTCCAGCATTCTAAGCCTATAGCAGCATAACTATCGAGATAGCTTAGGATAACCTGAGCCACTCTAACTATAAGCTTTATCAAAAAGGAAAGTTTTAAGCCTACCCTTAAAAGCAGACAGGGTGTCTGTCTCACGGACTAGTAGTAGGTTCCACAGGAGAGGAGTCTGATAACTAAAAGATCTGCCTCCCATTCTACTTTAAGAAATTCTAGGAACCACTAGTAAACCTGCAGATTGAGAGTAAAGTGCTCTGTTAGGAACATAAGGTACAATCATATCTCTAATGTGAGATGGAGCTTGGCCATTTAAGGCTATATATGTCAGAAGGAGGATTTTAAATTCTATTCTGGATTTAACAGGAAGTCAATGAAGAGAAGCTAGGATAGGAGAGATATGATCTCTATTTTTTTTAAACTATATATTTACTTTAAATTCACCTGATCTCTGAATCGTTTGAGTTACTCAAGGTGGGGTAGGATAAAAGTAAACTATCAATATCCTCACAAAAGCATTCACTAAAAGTGAAAAATATGGAAAAGAACAAAATACTACTAAAAGTAGTTTTTTTCCTGAAAGTTACTTAAGTAAATGCAACTCAGTAAATCTTAAAATTTACATAACAAATTATAAAAGGAACATTGAGATACATCTGAACAAAGAGAGCCTTTTGCTCTGCTGTCTCTCGCTGCATCCAACTGAACATGATCTTCATCCGCTTTCATGTGACTATATTCCTCTAACAAACCTGCACAGCTCTGCTTTTTTCCCCAAAAAATATAAAAATATTCATTCAGGTAGTGAGTTAAATATGCAAGAATTTCTCCTCAATGTGTGCATAATGTTTTTTTTTTTTATGTATGTTTGTATTTAATTATTTATGGACAAAAGATAAAAAGAAACTAAGAAAAGTGTCTAATTAAAGGGAGGAAGATTGCTACTAACCACATTAAGACAAATGGAGAGGATTGTTAGCAGCCGAGGAAAACATTTGCTATATGTTATCTAAAAAGGATATAATATTATAGTGGCCATGCTTTGTATAAGTTAGAAAAAATTCCTAATTTGAATTAAAAAAAAGGTTTTAGGAGCAGATCTGCCATCGTGTTGCATAAGGTATATATTTCCAGGATTTTTTTAAATAATACATAGAATGCTTTAATCATTTTGCAGTCCTCATGCTGGTTAATGCTGGAAATACCTGATATGATGCAGTCTGATTTCTTGTCCTCTGAATCAGGGAAAGAAAATATAAGTGACATAATAATGATGCTTCCTGGTTGGCAGGTGGCTGGGCAGACGGAGAGAAACAGCTGCAGTCGGTATGAGCTGGACTCGATTAGGAACCTGTCTGCAATGGGGACCAGTCCAAACTGGATGAAAAACCAGTCTGTGGAGGAATCCATGCCAGAGGTCCTTCTATCAAACCTGAAACAGGAGGGATGCAAAGATGGATGGACGTACAGTACTGAGTACTTCAATTCTACTGTGGTCACTGAGGTATATCACTGCCCATCTGGAATATGAAGCACCAGGAAAATGATGGTTAATGGTTATTTTAGCATTTCATTAACATAGAGTTCAGCTCATGGCCAGACAGTCATTCTGGACAGATTTTTATTGTGCAATCCCCCGGAGGTTGTGACCTTTCTAAGTAAACAGAAATTATTGACTGCATCTTTTTTACCTGTCGTCTCTAAACAGTGTAATTACTTACAGCTCAGAGTTTTTTTTGAAAGGCTCTATAGAATTTCAGTTTTGTTCGACCAAAATAAAGAAAAGGAGTTTTCATTTTCAAACACTTCTGATTTCCTACCAACAGCTCTTAACTTATACAACAGCTAGCTGGAAAAACACCCTGATATTATGACATTAATCCCTGTTGTATAAATAGAGTATTTTTGAATAAATTTTGAAATTGTATAAAGGCAACTCTGAAATTGCAGAAACTAAAAGCTTGGAAAGAAATTAGAAACAGTTTAAAAGCTGCATTGATAAAACTGCTGCAGCAGCATGAAATGAGAGAGATGTATCTAAATGTAGTAGGTATGAAAATGGCATTAAAATGTGGCCATAGGTTGAGATGAGCACAGCTGAAACATTTTAGTACACTCTCTTTGTTTTGGATTAACTTATATATATATATGCTCTATATTTGCCCTCTAGTTTAACCTGGTGTGTAGTGACCAGTGGAAGCAGCCTTTGTCTTCACTTATCTACTTTCTGGGAGGACTCTCCGGGTGTTTTATCTCAGGAATGATCTCCGACAGGTACATTTCTCATTTTATTTCATTAAATTATTTGCAAAAGGGAATATTTTTCCAAAAGATAAATAGTATGCAAAAGGGAATCATGTTGGAACTATTTTGTTGAAGAATTGCCACTGTGACAGTGAGCTTCTCTATTAATCTAAACACACTTATTAAAGGAAAATGTTCAAACCAATATTTGCAGGTTGTTCTAAACTGGACCCTTTTTGTCATGGTCAAACTTCTGGTTTGGTTTTTATTTTCAAAAGCTGACATACATGAAGTATCAATAAACCATTTCCT